GCGCCATTGAGCGCGCGACTGGGCCATATCTGACAATGTCTCTAGCCATTGACGTGGCTCGTCTCGGGGTCCCCATCCAGGAAGACGGAAGTGACCAGCGCAGCTGAGTTTGCTGGTTGGTTGCAGTGAAGGGACGACGTTCTATGTTTCGGTTCTCCTCCTTAAGTACGAAAGCCGACGTTCGGGAATGGGTACGGGCTCTTCGGTCAGCTTTGCCTTTTTCCGGTGCCCGCAACGCTCGAATAGTGTGAATATCATACACTCACCATCCTTCAAAGACCTCCGACTTAACTTAAATCCGCTCCATATTCCCCGTCTTCTACAACACGTGTAGCCCAGTCCATGACAGTCATCACCAATATTATCGCCTTCTGTACATTGGGATGAACGAACTGTAAAGTTGTTGAATCCATTCTTTACCATGAACCCACATCAATTTAAGGTGAAAATAAGCAAGTTTTTGCAATTCTAATCTTTCGGCAACCCTTACCACTGCTGGCTGCTCACATTGCCAAACATTCCTACGTTCACAGAAAGGCTTGCAAGCTTCTACATCTTCACATCAAGAGTGTGAAAGAGGATGATCACTACACCATAAGGGATCGTGGTAAGCCGAATCTTCGGTATCAACTCTCAAATTTGATAATAATATCAGGTTCAGAACGTTACAAGCTTGCCCTGACTTTACCCCGGGTGTGGATGGTACTCGCTGAACCAGACTGAGATTGGCTGTAGTTTTAAACATTTCGAACTCGAAGTAGGTGTTGGGTGCCTAGGAATAAGCTTTATTCATGTCATTTTTGGAGCACTGTAGCCTCCAACTGTGAAATAATGTTCACCTTGGCCCATATCCCTGGATTGATCCTGCCTGACAGATTTGAAATTCCGTACATGACGCCATTCATCGGTGCACCCGGTCTCTACTTCACACAATGTCAAGCAGCTTCTCCCTATGAGCTGTCGGAAGACTAGAAAAGGGGGCGAAATGGACCAAGTGGTTAGAGCGCGAATTTACTGATCGGAAGGTCCGTGGTTTGAACCCGAACTCTGTCTCTCGACTTCCCCTGTTCCGGCTTGGACAATCTGGCAGTATCCCAGCCCTCGTGCTTCCTTCGGGTGGTATGGCAGCTAGGTCCCGAAAGGGTGCTACAGCTGAACGATTTTTTCAGACTAGAAAAGGATGGATTTAAGCTTTTAGCATCAATCTGAAATCAAGCTACCTCCACTTCTGTCATTCTTGTCAGCGCGAAATATCATACATGCAGAAGGGAAAGGTTCACTCTATTGAGTGTCATTTGAATCCGGTAACATCCAATTCCATTTTTTCAATCTACGATTTTAATCGCAGAATGCGTACATTGCTTGATATCACTGCCAAGCCACCCGCTGGCTTCCGTTTCACGGGATATTCTATGAACTCTTTGAAACTTTACAATGCGTAGATCGGGTTACACGAAAACCATCGTGCTTTTGGTTCCGCGACTGCAGCCTTCGTTTTCTGACGGTCCTCAGTTCCGATCGATCCAGGAAGACTTTTCTCGTGATCTATATGTGTGACAGAGCATTCTTTTGCAATCATCCGCATATTTCAGAACCATTTTCACTTGGCGAGGTTATTCTCCCGGCTTAGCACCCTCTGTACGCAGGAGAACCGCCACAAGAACCTGTAGATCCAGGTCGTTGAAATCACACATTTCCAATATGTGCTCTTGTGAGAATTCTCTGCTTGCGCTCCCGTGCCTAATAATGAATCTGCATGGAAATCAGTCACCCATCGCATGGATGTCCGTTGGCTTTTGGCCGATTTTCCATCCACTTATGTTCGAACCTGGTCTTGCAAACCCCTTCTCGGACAGAATATAGCATCATCCGTACCCTCGTAGCCAATCGTTACATAAGGTGAGCAGGTAAAACGCAGGGCGAGATGGCCGAAGTGGTTAGAGCGCGGATTACTAACCTGAAGGTCCGCGGTTCGAATCCGCCCTCCGCCACTCGACTTCCCCTGTCTAGGCTTGGGCAACCTGGCAGTATCCCAGCCCTCGTGCTCCCTTCGGGTGGCATGGCAGCTAGGCACCGGAAGGGTGCTACAGCTGAACGCTTTATCTTCTTTATCTACTCAGGGTTTAACTCAGTTTCTTCTCACCTCATCTGAATGTGCTGATAACAGGAATGGGCTTAGACGTGGTGAGCTGTAAATGAAGATAGAGATCCCCGGATACGGTTAGCAGAAATCGCTGCAGCAGGGAAAGAAGCTCAGCTGGCTGGTTTGCGCAGCTTACGGGGTTCATCTCGGACTGTCCCATGACTCGTTCCGTGTAATCGTTAATTAAAGCCATATTTTCCAAGCGAGTCTCAAACGATACGCCTGGAACTGCAGTCGACTCATTTAAACTGACCCATATAAATTGACTCATGTTTCTTACAAACGTTCGCTTTCTCATATGAAAACAAAACGTCAATACCAAAAAGAAAGCTGGCAGTTACCTCTCGTGTCCATACTGAACATCGAAGCCACCGATACAGATCAGCCGTCCGGTTGGCGAGTTTGCATTTGTTTCCCCAACTCTGTTTGTCCGTCGCCTTCACCGCGAAATCAGCGTTCTGGTTGTCCCAGGTCACGTGGTCTGCGTAAGTCATATCCCAAAACAGTCGTGTGCACTCCTGATCGCCGGGGGTGTTGTGTCCACATGAGAGGAGGAATGTGCTCATAGTTATTCACATGTCACACTCTACTCGTCTGAGAGGGCGGGTGGAAGTTTCTCGTGCAATGGTTTTTGAGCCAAACGCAGATGGACAAGTGAGTTCACGCATTCGAGACGCTATAGGGTAATCGCTGGATTATCAAGTATATGAAGGAGTCACGCCTTTCTGCCACAATAAAATTGTACCACTCTCTGCAGCGTGGAGAAAAAGCACCGTTTGTTTGTATTATCCCTTTTCGAGGGTCTTCAGTAGTGAACGTTTCAAGATTCCCTGGAGGTTGCGCAGTTCTCAACTGAACCCATGTTCGTATGACCGCCTGATCATCACTACACTTCCTCACAAAGGTCACTACCGTCATAAAGTTTGAAAATTACAGACCAACGTAAGATGAGCAGGTAAAACTCAGGGTTTAACTCAGTTTCTTCTCACCCCATCTGAATTTGTTGATAACAGAAATGGGCTTAAACGTGGCAAGTTGTAAATGAAGATAGAGATCCCCGGATACGGTTAGCAGAAATCGCTGCAGCAGGGAAAAGAAGGTCAACATGGCTGGTTTTCGCAGCTTACGAGGTTCATCGCGGACTGTCCCATGACTCGTAGGATACAACATCAATAAAATCCTTCATGGAACTAAAAATCGAACCTGGCGCCAACGAGTTTGGTTGTACAGAGCCTAAAGCGAATGCTGGAGAGCCTCCTTTTCAAATTGTTGTAAGCGAAGATCTTGTATGAACAGGCGATATTGTTCTTACCTTTAGGGGTGGAATGGCTCAGTGGTTAGAGTGCGAATTTACTGGCCAGGAGGTTTGTGGTTCGAACAAGACCTCTGCCTCTCGACTTCCCCTCTCTAGGTTTGAACAACCTGATAGTATTCCAGCCCTCATGCTTCCTTCGAGTGGCGTGGCAGTTCGGCAACGCAAGGGTGCTACAGCTGAACGATTTTTTGGGAAAAGCGGAAAAAAAACACGTGCGATATTTTACTGGGTGGCCAGAATGCTCGATCCTTTGACATGCATTTTACAGTATATGTGGTCGTTGAATGCGCTTGCTAACCAGAAACTCCTCAACGGCACCCATTAGTAGCAGTTTAATGACGTCCCCGGGTAAACCGCGGTAGTCAGCTTGTTATTTTCTTGAGTTGGAAATCCGCCTCGTTGCCAGGCACTCATAGATGCTGCATGTGTCTTACACTGTTTGTACTTTCTACCTTTAGACCCACAATCATCTTCGTCCGACTCCGATACGACATGCATCGGCACACTGAACTCACACGAGGTGACCCAGATTCTCTACACTCTGAATCTGCCGAGCCTGTTACTCTCCTCCATCCACTGGTTTATAATTGCGTTACGATTTTCCGGACAGTTTGTACACCTGGTTGTCTTCGACTGCGAGTGAGTTGCTTCCTGGGTTTCCCAATCGTGGTAATTGAAGTAATTTACTGCTTCCTACCCAACTAAGTCGACGAGCTCACAAACCGTGCATCGAAGTACAATGGTTCCAGCTACTACGGGTCCTTTCTCTAAGGACGCGGAAAATAGGGGAATGAGAGCCATACGTTGGAGGCGATGTTCCAATCTCTGCTGCATTATCGTCGAACAGTTCTGTATGCCCGCCATGTCAGGGAGTAAGAAGCACGCGATGAAACTTTGATTCAAGACTGCCACTGACCGCGTGGCCCAGCCATATCTGTTAGAGTTACTAACCATTGATATGTCTCGACCAGCAGGCCCCATCCGAGGAGACGGCAGTTACCAAGGAGACTCAGTTTACGGGTAAGGTTTCCTTGCCAGGTAAGGGACCAACCGTCCCAATTAAAGTGTATGAGAAAAAATCGTTCAGCTGTAACACCCTTCCGGTGCCTAGCTGCCATGCTACCCGAAGGAAGCACGAGGGCTGGAATACTGCCAGGGTACCCAAGCCTAGTCAGGAGAAGTCAGGAGGCACAGGTTAGGTTCGAACCACGAGCCTTCCGGTTAGTAAATTCGCACTCTAACCATTGAGCCATCTCGCCCCCACGAAGCATTTATAACTATCGTTTTATGATCCTCTCGTTCCGGATATTCACACTCGGCAATGGCTGTCTTCTGCCCTGAAGTGCCACTGTTTTTTCTTGGAATATCATATTGATTAGACCGCAGTCTCCGACTAAAAGGCCACATGTAGTTTATCGATGGCTGCTTTTTAGGTGTGAGCAACCCGGAAGTTTTCAGAACGCTTTACTGTGACATGACATCTATACAGGGGGCGAGATGGCTCAAGTGGTTAGAGCGCGAACTTACTGACCGGAAGGTCCGTGGTTCGAATCCGAACTCTCTCTCTCTCGACTTCCCCTGTCTAGGCTTGGGCAACCTGGTAGTATCCCAGCCCTCGTGCAACCTTCAGGTGGCATGGCAGCTAGGCACTGAAATGTTGCTACAACTGATCGTCGTCGACATCCATATACCGAACGAACACTTTTCTATGCCTGTTTCTCACTTTGTCGTCACTCATATCTTCTTGCTTTATACCTGGTTGTTCTTGCTGTCCAACAGGTCGTCGGATCGCTATTTGTTTCGAACTGGACTTGGAGCTATCTGGTTTCCAGTATCTCCGAAATGCAAGTCCACAGAGGTATGATGCGCAACAATAAATATTGTTTAATCCACGACCAATGACGACATGGTAAGATCACCCCCACATACTGACCCCCAGAGAACTCGTTCAACCTGACAACTACACACATCGGTTCTCTGTCCGCCCTCAGTTCAGTCAGTATTACATGAACTAGAAAGACCTGTTCAGGTTGGCCATCAAAACTTGCAAGGTCGTTTAGTTTAGCTCTCGGTTGAGCGAAAGGTACATTGAGTGTGACATTGTCTCTTCGCCTTAATGCATGAGAGACTCGATTTCCGTAACGTGTATGGTTGAGTGCGTGTTAGTCCATCCGTTCACCTGTTGGCTGGATGCATTCGCTCATTACAATGGTACAGTGCTTCATTTGGCAGCTCTCGCAACGCACTCCCCTTAGTTTGTTCAAATATTACTTTTGGCGTTTTTCACAGAATTGCGTCAAGACATTGGGTCAGGACATTTCGGTAGAGTGAGGCTAAAAAATCTAATCATGTTAGCGCACGATTGCCCAATGTTTGTAGTGGTTATTCCGATGAAGTTTCAACCTTCTCAGAGAGTGACATCCGAAGTTCCCAATCCATTCTGGACTTTCCTTTCTCTCCTTCCTGGGTTCGGGCAGTTCGGCACAATAACTTCCCCCCCACACACACACACACCGATGCGGAAAGCGTATCCAACTATTCGAATGTGTTGCTTCTTGAAGATATGAAGTATTGTATCACGCTCTGCACCTAAGTCTTGGAGAGTTTACTTCGTTTGCATTGATCGCAGCGTGTGTTATGCTCGCTGGTTGCTGTAATTTACACCAACGAGTGGTTTTTGTGCCTTTTGGATAAGGTCACATTTGAGACACGAGGTTGTATGTCACGACAGTACTAGCGAAAACAGGGGCGCAATGAGTATCGGGCTCTAACCTGGGTTTGTACTCGACCGTGTCACAGCGATTCGTACTGCATACGTATCTGGGACTGGACTCTTGTCAAGAGTCCCTTGGACTTTGCGGCATGATGCGTCAGTGATGCTTACTGTGTCCGTCGTTTAATCTGGCAACGTGGGTCAATACCACAGGGCGTTTGCACTGCTGTCTCCTCTTTAGGTGTCCTTGTCGAGGGTATCCTTGAGGTTACCCGTGGGAAAATTACCATCGCAAACTCACTGTGGGGCTTCCTACGGGTAACATAGTAACCGCACGCTGAAAGATGTCTTCATTTCAGCAAACACGTTTGTTGATCACCCAAGGGCGAATTCAAATCTCGAACTTGGTATTCACCAAGTATTTAACACTTGTACATAACTCTTTCTGATAGGTATTCAAAGTTTGTATTCGCTGCCTGTTGACCCAGAGGGAACTCTCCTCTTTTAATGGAATTTGGAACACACCTCTGGACTGCTGGGTATCGCACTGCCCGGTAGACGTTGGAACGAATAGTCCGACACGTAAAACAGCCCAACCATGGTAGATTTGCTCATCTTATGAGCACAGCCCGGTCGATGGTCACTTTGTGAGCTCCAATCACGACGGAGATGGCCATGGGTTGTGACTGGAATTCGATCAATGGCCCCATTCTGTTTACATCATCCCTTCTAGTCTGCGAAGGTGCCACTGGTTCGGCGCGAGGTCCTCGGGGTTCAGTATGTGTTTGTCTCCCCCTGTTAACCAAGTCAAGATGTTTGTGACGCTATTCAACATATTTCGGACCCTCATATATCGCTCTTCCTTGGACATGTTTGAATAGGTCTTCTCGTTTCAGCAACTAACCCAATCAGGACGGGATTCACATCCATGGCCACAACTCTGTTCACCGACGGAGGCGTTGCGTGATCTGTGGCACTTTGTGGTTTCTTCCAATCGCACAACCAAACGGCCCCCTTCCCAGCTCCCTGTCCCTTGTCTCATCAGCTGTTCGCAGACAACTCCAGATCAGTTGGTTTACTTAAGTCGTCTGCTCCGGACAACGCGACACTCTAGTTTGGCACGATCTTCAATGCCTCGTGACTGCCGCTTCTTGGACTTGAGTGCACTTTTTCAACGGGACACTTCAGGTTGCGCATTTGAAGAGGCTGAACTGGATTTCAAGACCAAACTGGTTGATGAGTGTCGCTCTGTATCCCAACAGCTTTTCATCTCATCAGAACAGGGCGCACCAAAGCTGAAACCGCGAAACTATTCGACAATACAGGAATTCTTACGGGTCGGAAAGGTTCACAGTTTGCCATGGATGGAGGTGAGTTTTTGACTGTCACCTCTGACGGGCTTGGTGGACATCTATTTTGGAAGGGTTTTCTGAGTGCTCTCCTCTCCAGTCCTTGCATATGCGTCGATGTTGTTGTATATTTTCTCTCCTTTCTTTCTGCTTTGTTTCAGGCTCCCCTGGAGTTGCACATTTTGCGTCAACTAAAAACTTCCTGTTCCTTGATAAATGAGAAAACGGAAATGGAACTCTGTCGTCCCACTCTTGAAGCCGTCCCGGATTCCATACTGCGCCGACTGGCCTCTGTGGGCTTGGGTCGCACTCGGCTCACTCGACTCGCTGGCCTCTATGGTTGGCAAGGATTCAGTGGTCTACTGAGTTTCGAACTAGCCAGCAACACAGAGTCACGTGATGAGACGGTCCAACCGTTTGTGACCAATAGTCTAGATGTTCTCCAAATCCTTTATCGATTCTTCAGGCATGTGTATGAGTAAGTTAATAGGTACTGACCGGTTTTCGCCAATCGGTGAGTTCACCGAATCCCCTGAAATTCATTTACAAAGTGAAAAGGACAAAGTAAACATTGGCTACTGGACGCCTTATGACGCGGAGCTCTTTTAGGCTGCCCAAATCTAGTGACACAAGCGTTCTCAGAGCAGAAATTTTCTGACAGCCTTGGTAAAAATGAAAGCACATCTATCGTATCGCAACTGGTCCTAGACATACCATCCAAAATAGAACGACTGGTTTCTTTACCGGCTGGTAATCGACCGTGGTGCATGGTAATGGCACTAATTTTGCATCTCGAACACACTACTCACTGTTTAGTTAGTGGCGTCGTTCAATTTTTTTTTACTGCCGTCAAACCATGGCCAGCGTTACGTCGCGTAACTCGGCTATTTGTTTCACTCATTCTGCCCTATAGTCACCTTAGTCGTCATCTTCGCTTACATATGGGTGAAGACAAAATTCACTTCAAGCGGAACACAGTGGGATCCGAACCGTTTGACTACTCTGCTATGACGTCAGAAACCAAGACATACGGACAAGGCAAGTTGTTGGCTTGGACAGCTGGTGGTAACACGATGTTGGATCCTGCTGGGGACCGGCACTCACAGTGTTTGGACATGGACCGGTCAATCGAGTTGATGCGAAAGGTTCAAAGACAATTTCAGGTGCGTCATAAATGCTACCGCGACGCTGTACTCGTTTTCATTGCCTTAGCCCAAGAAGTGCTGTAAACTTTAATGCACATGAGGACAGTCGCTTCACCAGTAACCCTATTCAATTCAAACCTACATATTGAGCAGATTGCCACGGTAATAATTGACAACCCTCCGATGATTTGGGTGGGGGGGCGTAGGTAGCTGCACATTGCAGGTGGGAAATGATAAATTGGTGCAAAAATTCAGCACTCTCAGTGGGTTGTCAGTTGGGGGATTGGGAAGGGAGCTATGAATTGAAGGCAATAGCTTGGATACACGAGCGCCATTGAGGGCGCGACTGGTCCATGTCTGACGATGTGTCTCGTCTCGACGTTCCCATCCAAGGGGACGGCATTGACCAGCGCAGTTGGGTTCGCTCGTAATGGCTTTCATAATTCGCTGCCAAGTTATTCTTCGATCTGTCCTAGCTTGCTTCAACCCTTCGCGTGGTTCTACGAAAAGAGTCGTCCTTCGAGGAAGTCTGTCCACCAGCATACGGAGCACGTGACCAAGCCAGGGCAACCTATGCAGTGTGATCAGTTCGTCTATCGTGGACGAGTTGTTTTTTTTCCCGAAAAGCACTCAAAGTACTTCAGCATTACTGATCCAATGTGCACTCCACACTCGAGCAATTCTCTTCATGTGCTCTCCATGTTATTTTTATATTCGGTAGATCATTCGCTTCGTATAGCCCTTTGTGAGTAGAGGAAGCGGGAGCGAGATGGCCCAAGTGGTTAGAGCGCGAATTTACTGACCGGAAGGTCCGTGGTTCGCACCCGACCTCTGTCTCTCGACTTCCCCCGTCTAGGCTTGGGCAACCTTCGGGTTGCATGGCAGCTAGGCACCGAAGGGGTGCTACAGCTGAACGATTTGGGTAGGATAAACGTGAAAGCCTTGACCTCAACAAACTCGACCGCCTTGCTATTTGAATAAGCATCCTGTGCTAGGATGCATGAATTATAACAACTACTGAATACACGGTATGATCGAACAGTCACTGAAACTGACCTATTAGAGTCTTCTTAGATGGGCGCGGAATTACAACGATGGGTGAGCCGCACTTCAGAAGGCCTTGTGTAAAAGTACGTGTTTTCTTACGTGTTTTCTTGCAAGCCAATTGCCGACCCCTGTGAAGAGATCAACTGCTACGTGAACAACAGCTACCAGTGAACTCATCCGGGCCACCGATGTTCACCGCAGTACCCTTCAATGCATGACCTAGCCTCATGTCCCCCTGAAGTAAGGAAATCTGACTTAGGGACTTGAAGCTGCAAAAAATAGAATCATTAAGCTGTAGCACCCTTCCGGTGCCTAGCTGCCATGCCACCCGAAGGTTGCACGAGGGTTGGGATACTGCCAGGTTGCCCAAGCCTAGAGGGGGGGAAGTCGAGAGGCAGAGGTCGGGTTCGAACCACGGACCTTCCGGACGGTAAATTCACGGCCTAACCACTTAAGCCATGTCGCTGCAAACCAGTTATAGGTTAAGTGGTGCAGCAGGCTTGGACTACCGCCCGAGTTGCCTACCACCTCCGCTACGTAGCTATCCTGTCAACAGAATACTCTAGGTCTCCGACCTCAATCTGTTGCTGTTGGCCAACCGTGTTGTCCCTGAACTCGTGCCAGCCATTGCCGTCAACCCCACTCTTTGCTCTCTTCTCTTTGAGAAGAACTGTGACACAAGCAAAAAACGACCAGAAATCCCATTTATCGTTTAATACTTGGTTTGACTGGTTCAATAGAAGCTGTCTCTGACGGCTACTACTTATGATAATGTCAGTTCTTTAATTTAGACCAAAAAACAGTCTTTGATGCTGGTTCATCTCTCTCTCTATGTGTGTGTTCTCTTCCCTTTTCGTTTCTACCCAGGAGGCCCGAGTGAAACATTCCCTTCCTCCTTATCCTTCCTTACCAAGCCCATCGATCAAACTCGGAAGGTCAGTGGAGTCATATGTTTTCCTCTTCGTTACCACGATCCTCTGGCGGTTCTTTGTTTGAATCAATTAATTGTATGGTGAACAGATCTAATTTTGGATAAGAAGTTGTTCATGGTGAATATCAGAGGGAGCTGTGTGATAAGGAGGTGAAAAGTACACGTAACATGGTCTGGAAATGGTTTCGCTTCCCCGACCTCCTGCTTACGAGGTCGTCACTCGACTGACTGGGCCACCGAGGACACTTATGCTCTCACAATTGACTCGCCACACTTGTTTCCAGTGAGCTAACAGCTATTGTCTGTCAGTGCCACTAGTTATCTCCTTCGTGAGATCTCCACAATCGACTCAACCCAGAGAACCCCTCGACACGTCAGATCTTGGAGAACAGGGAGGCCCAATCTTGCCACGGTCTCGTCGCCATCTTCCAACCCAATGTTCTTTGAGGAATCTGGGGCAACAAGTCAATGTTCCCAGGTTCGAAGCGGTTGCTAGTTCAGAGGTACCAGATAGTCAGGCATACTGAACTATCAGGTGCTCCACCCAGCACGCCAGGTGTTTTCGTAGGTTGTGTGCCAGTATATAATGTGCTTCGTGTCGACTAGATGGAAGAGTATTTGGGCGTAGATCATAAGGTTGACGGAAACTCGGGAACTGCGCCTACCTGATGAGTCCCAAGAGGGGCGAAACCGGTCGTGGGCTGTCGAAGAGTTTTCACCAACCTTGTGAGTAGTTTCTTTTATGAAAGTATCTGGGCGTCTCCAAAGGCAGCCTGTCCAGGGCACCATGGCTTACGATCAGCTCCAAGGCTATTTCTTGTACTTTGCTTTACTGTCAGGCAGATTGTTGCACACACTCTGCTAGTAGCTGGCGAATCGATATAGCAGAAATCACGCCGCGCATTTTGGTGTGTCACAGTTTGTAACACTGAAAAGTGATCCAAGGATCTCATGACCAGAGAGCACCTATATTGGCGAAAGGAGTGAAGCCCTTTGTGCGAAGTTATTCATTAGCAAACATGAATCAAGCGGCTACAAGTAATTAAACGCGAAAGTAAACATCTCAGTTTTTCAACAACAAAAAATGAACATTCTCAAGTGTTCACTTGAACTCTTCTGTACTTTCTTCGATCATTAAACAATCATAAACGAACACTGCAAATCGGTTCCATAATTTTCTTACTAACTTCCACCTTCCGTCAGATACGGAGGCGGACGCTGGACACTAGACAATAGACTACTTGCTTGCTTCATCAGTAGCATACGCCGTCACGCTTGTACTACAGCAACTAATAAATGGTCAATAATCGTGTCTCTATGACAACTGCCGGATGATTGTCTAATCGATGTCCTACAAGTGAACACCAATCAGCACCTGGATCGTATTCATACAGTTAGTAGTACGGATCTTTTCAGGATAAGCCCCGCCAGTAATGCAAAAAGTGCATGTGCGAAAAGTTAAGCCCCGCCACTTTTTGCCAGTTCCAATTTAATGTACGCACACAGCCTTCACCTATTTTTGATGAAACCAATTCCTTATGCACATCCAGGCTCATTTTGTGCAAAAATTTTCTCCGTTCGGGTGTAAAACCTTAAATGAAGCTTCTGACGCTTTCAACTCTCGTTCATGACAAGGAGACAGAAATACGGCTTTTGCAAAGCCGCGGAGTGATTCATCAGCAACTTTTAGCAACAATGGCTACCAAATGACAATTTCAACTGTTTCTGACAGGTGGAGGTGTAATGCCCGCCAGTGTCGGCAATATATCAGTCTTCGAAAGGGAACTTGGTTGGAGTTTAGGACAGTAATTATATTCATTTATTGCTGGTCCGAAAATTTGGCAAAAATCAAATTCTGCTCAGAGAAATTATCTATTAGCCACACCACCGCTGTTGACTGAAAGAACTTTCTTCGCGAAGTTTGCGGCTGGCAGCTTTTGCAGACTCCAACAGCTATCGGTGGCCTAGGTCTACACGTCGAGATCGATGAAACGTTAATATCTCACCGTAAAAACCACGCAGGGCGAGTCCTTCCCCAGCAGTGGATTTTCGGAGGGATCTGCCGGGGGACTAAGGAGATGTTCAGTGCCAGATCGAATTGCCACCACTTTGATGGACACAATCCAGGCCTACATCACTCCCGGCTCAATCATCATCTCCGATATGTGGGCATCGTACTAAGGAATTGAAACGATGATTGACATGACTTTTACTCATGAAATGGTTAATCATACCGAACAATTTGTGGATCCAACGACTGGAGCTCACACACAAACCATCGAATCTCTTTGGCACGTCTACAAGATGCAGAATAAATGCCAATGCGGCACACACCGATCATTAGTGGACAGCTACTTGTGTGAGTTCGTTTGGAGGCAAAGGTACCGAAAAACGGACCTTTTCATTCAAATTATTAGTGGCATGTCCCAATTTCATCCTCTCCAATAAAAACCAGAAGTACAAATTTCATATCCTCTTTTTTAACCTTTTTTGGGTGACGGGGGTTAATGTTTTGGCGGGGCTTTTCTGGAAAAGATCCCATCGGCCACTAACATCAAATGGCCTCATGATCCAGTTTTGACATCTGTTTTTCAAAAAAAGAACATTCTCAAGCGTTCACTTGAACTCTCCTGTACTTTCTTCGAATATTAAGCACTCATAAACGAACACTGCAAATCGGTCCCATAATTTTCATAGTAACCCTCACCTTCCGTCAGATACGGACGCGGAGGCTGAACACCAGACAATAGACTACTTGCATGCTTCATCAGTAGCGTACACCGTCACACTTGTACTACAGCAACTACCAAACGGTCAATAATCGTGTCTCAAAGGAAACTGCCGGATGATTTTTCTTCACGGGCCACGTTTAACAGTGAGTCTAATCGATATCCTACAAGTGAACACCAATCGATACATGGGTCGTATACATGCGGTTGGCAGTACTAGCAATCGCCGGGTTTCTTGATCTTGTGATTGTTCGTATCGTCTATCCAACAGCCCACAGATCATGCTGAATTGATGTGACTGACGCAACTTCAAACCCGCATGTGTCCAGATGCCACAAATCGTTGTCCAAAGTATTTGGATGTCCAAGATGTGATGATGATGATCATTCATCCGTAACACCCTTTCAGCGACTAGTTACCATGCTACCCGAAGGAAGCATGAAGCAAGCCTGAACAAGATCAGTTCGCATGCCGGAGTTTGGTTGGAGCACTGGACTTTCCGGTCCCCTTAACCACTGGGTTGTCTCGAGCTCTTTTGCACACCATGTCTGCACACATCTATCACGGAGTCTTGATATCGGGATCGGACATGTGTGACTCTTTTGGACCACTAAATCATCTTGTCCCCGTTTTCATGCCAAAGTACTTTTTCTTAGACCGTAGCAAACAAAGGGTTGAGAGTTCTGTTTTAAAATTCTTGGATTCCAGTCTATCAGAGTTGACATTGACCATCCGTCGACTCTGGTTATTTAGGTAGCAAACGTGTAAAAATTCTTTGTTTCAGGACATTTTGCGCATATTAACTGATTTGAACCTATACAAAGTTTCATTACTCCTGTGAAAACTTTGTCCACCCATGCTTTGTTTTACGAACGTTAGAGGGCTAGGATCTGTTTTACACTCGTCTCTTACCGCCAGCTTGTTTTTTCTTGTTCTGCAGCTTCCGCGAGTCTCGTGCACATGATTTACTCAGCGACGATTCTACCGACACCAGCAGTGACGCGGAATCATCTTCGGGTCATTCTCAAGCCTCTCTTGGTCTCGAGGATGTGGACTGATAACGCTCAACTTGTCCATCTACCCCTCCCCCTTTCTGTACAAATGCGAATTCCAGTACACCGTCACACTTGTACTACAGCAACTACCAAACGGTCAATAATCGTGTCTCAAAGGAAACTGCCGGATGATTTTTCTTCACGGGCCACGTTTAACAGTGAGTCTAATCGATATCCTACAAGTGAACACCAATCGATACATGGGTCGTATACATGCGGTTGGCAGTACTAGCAATCGCCGGGTTTCTTGATCTTGTGATTGTTCGTATCGTCTATCCAACAGCCCACAGATCATGCTGAATTGATGTGACTGACGCAACTTCAAACCCGCATGTGTCCAGATGCCACAAATCGTTGTCCAAAGTATTTGGATGTCCGAGATTTGATTATGATGATCATTCATCCGTAACACCCTTTCAGCGACCAGTTACCATGCTACCCGAAGGAAGCATGAAGCAAGCCTGAACAAGATCAGTTCGCATGCCGGAGTTTTGTTCGAGCACTGGACTTTCCGGTCCCCTTAACCACTGAGTTGTCTCGAGCTCTTTTGCACACCATGTCTGCACACATCTATCACGGAGTCTTGATATCGGGATCGGACATGTGTGACTCTTTTGGACCACTAAATCATCTTGTCCCCGTTTTCATGCCAAAGTACTTTTTCTTAGACCGTAGCAAACAAAGGGTTGAGAGTTCTGTTTTAAAATTCTTGGATTCCAGTCTATCAGAGTTGACATTGACCATCCGTCGACTCTGGTTATTTAGGTAGCAAACGTGTAAAAATTCTTTGTTTCAGGACATTTTGCGCATATTAACTGATTTGAACCTATACAAAGTTTCATTACTCCTGTGAAAACTTTGTCCACCCATGCTTTGTTTTACGAACGTTAGAGGGCTAGGATGTGTTTTACACTCGTCTCTTACCGCCAGCTTGTTTTTTCTTGTTCTGCAGCTTCCGCGAGTCTCGTGCACATGATTTACTCAGCGACGATTCTACCGACACCAGCAGTGACGCGGAATCATCTTCGGGTCATTCTCAAGCCTCTCTTGGTCTCGAGGATGTGGACTGATAACGCTCAACTTGTCCACCTACCCCTCCCCCTTTCTGTACAAATGCGAATTCCAATAATAGCTTCAAATTCACAGACTTTTGTTATTCTTAGTTTTACAGAGTTGATTGTGCGAACACCGAAGTGATAGGGCAGAGCCATCCGATTGAATTAAATACTTGTAGTTCAATTTCTAACGGGGGCTGTTGATTTGTTCACTGGGCTGGGCGGACGTTTAGTCATCACTCGCGATGACCGATGACAGTTTTCTCAAAACTGATGACTTCGCGTTCATTCTGAATTTGGGAAGTTAGCAAAGTAGGATTGCCAAAGGTTGGACCGACTCCTACTCTAGGTGTTATGAAAATTAAACATTCAGTTTAGACTAGTACACTCTCATCTGGTGTGGCTACGAACAAAACATCTATCCCGCAAAACCCCAAAATTGCAACCAAAAAGTTTCCCAGTGGGTTTCAAGCGTGTGTCACGCTACCTGACTGGAGGGTTTATTGATCGTCACAACCAAGATAGTTTTACTGGGTCGTCGTTCGATTGATCGGGCACACCAATCATATTGCTCAAGTGTGAACACGTTCACCTGTTCAGATGCGTCCAACGTGCGTTGGTGGAGTAGTGGTTACACGCTCGCCTCGCAGTTCAGGTTTCCGGGGTTCAGATCCCGGCGCGGCCACTGGGTATGCACTGCTAATGAGCTCTAATAAGAGCGAAACTCGAGTCCAGTGCTTCCCCGTTTGGTGTGGACTCACCGGAATGATTACGCCAGAACAGGAGGACGAGCGTTCAAACGAGAGTGGTATGACTGTGAACAAGCTAACGACCTAGTTTTCACAGGAGACTTACCTGAAAACCTGGCTGAATCTCTCGTTTATGATATTCTCTACAATGCTTTGCAATGCTTCGATTATCGAACCAACTGAACCATGAGGCTGGCCGGCACTGCACAATTACCTGATAAAGAACATCATAAACGAGAGATTCAGCGGGGTTCTAGGTGGGCCACGCGTGAAAACCAAATTCTTATGCAAGTGAGTGTATTAGTCTAGCCGTATGTATAGGGTTATCACAGTGTGCCACAACGTCGCGCAAGCATATTCGTGAGAGGGCGAAAAGCATCGAGCTATAGATGTCCGGTCTAGATTGACTGATACTCTGACCAGTCAAGGGATGCATTCGTTTAGTCCGTAGCCCACATGTGACACATTCGTTCAATCGAAGTGATATTCGATTAGGACAATAACCGATATTTCGTCGTTTTATTTTTGCATCGGTTTGCCCGCGAAGCCCCTTGCCCGTATTTTCACCTTGGAAGTCACGTAACATTTCTTGGACAAGTGCAACTTGCAGTGGTCACATTGCAACGTCCATTTTTCACCAATTAAGTCGATGTGTTAAGGATTCCCAGCTGACGCTTGATTGCTTGACGTCAGATACACTCTGATCTACTCGTGTCACTGAGTGAAGAGAGCTCATCAAAGTTGAAAACTCTTCGACAGCCCACGACCGGTTTTTCCATTCCAGTTCGGGCTCATCAGGTAGGCACAGTCCCCGAGTTTCCGTCAACCTTATGATCTACTTGAACCCGAATTGCACTGTTTTCGAAAAATACACTCATTTGCAAATCAATTTGGTTTTCACGGGAGACTCAATTGAATCTCTCGTTTATGATGTCCTCCAGCTCAATGTGCCGCACACAGGCCGCCTTATGATTCAGCTGACACGATATTCGGGATTCGGCAGTATGCCTTCATAAAGGAAACTACTCACAAGGTTGCTGAAAACTCTTCGACAGCCCACGACCGGTTTTTCCATTCCAGTTCGGGCTCATCAGGTAGGCACAGTCCCCGAGTTTCCGTTGACCCTATGTTCTACTCGAATAACTGTTTGTTCTGTACGAGCACTTGAATGACATGAGATTGAAACTTACTATTCTTCTGCAATTTTCGTTTAAGAAAGAGGGCGTTGTTCTCAGTGCAGCTCAGTTTGGAGTACAATATACTACTGATTTGTACGGAGACAGCGCAGTTAAATAGAACTGTTTCCAGGTCCTTGGACTGTTGTACTGCCGCCTATCTGATCAATCGGACAATGTTGCAAACGCTTGCTCAGATACTGCTCGTGATCGAACCGAAAAGTAGTAAGTGGTGTGTGCGTGAATTGACTAACTGTAGAGCGTCTCTTCGTACGGGGTACTCTTTCCAGCGAGCTGATTCAGCGGTGGAAAACATATTACCGAAGGGAATATCTCTCCCTTGCAGCGCTTTGCAGAGATGTCGAGATGGTTCAAGTGGTTAGAGCGCGAATCTACTGACCGGAAGGTCCGTGGTTCAAGCCCGACCTGTGCCTCTCGACTTCCCCCGTCTAGCCTTGGGCAACCTGGTAGTGTCCCCGCCCTCGTGCTTTCCTTCGAGTGGCGTGGCAGCTAGGCACTGAAAGGGTGCTACAGCTGAACGATGACGATGTATATGATGATTTGCCTCTGAACGTATACCCAGTGCTTGGCTTTACTATATCCATAAAAAACTAATGTACCTTTTTTCGGAATTTCACCCATTCCCACTGCAATCGTTCCACTCATGTCTGTTTCCCCATTCTAGCCTCATTCAACACAATGACAAAGAAAAAGCCTCCGTCTGGACGTCCTGTGAGCGCTAATCCAGCACAAGGGAATGAGGATGAGAGTATCTACCTAAAGCTCAGTGATATTCCCTATGACTTGATGCGTTTCAACATTTCAATGAAGAAGGGTGTTGATCGTCGCGAAGCTCGAAAAGCCTTGTTGTTACGAATGGGTGCAGCTCCACCGAAGAAACAGTTCATCAACTACAAACAACTCATGCGGGATAAAGCCGAAAGCAAAGCGAAGGCAGCCTTGCTCCCGGTTGATGTATGTATTGTTGAACCTGTTTCTCATTGATCCGCTTCACTTTCTAGACCGCTTCAACTACCGTCAACAAACAAGTCCCTTTGAATAAAATAAAACGGAAAAAGAGGCAAAAGACAAAAGGCAAGCAAAGCGGGAGCAAGGTTGCCCGAACTACGTAGGTTGCCTCCGCTTCATGTTCAAGGTCATTCTCACATGATTTCAGGAAATCACGAACCAAATTTCGGAAAACGTCATCTTCGAACAAGAAACGATTGAAGAAGTAATTCTGCTGAACCCTTTGTACAAAGTCTTTTTTTAACAAAGCATTTGATTGTATCCGTTTGCGGTCAAATTAAATCCCACATAATAC